TTCGTTTGCTTTTTTGAATCCAAAAACGATTACCTGATAGGATCGTAGAGAATATATGAGAGGGTTGTAGTAAAAGAAAACCATGGGAATGCTTCGAAGAAGATGAATAGAAGGAAAATTAGCTGAACTGCCACTGAAAATTGATAGTTTCATATAATGCTCGTTATTACTTAGCTTGCTTTGAACGCTGAATCTGCAGAGAAGGCCTTTTTCGTGAACTACAGTTTTTGGACTTATTATATTTGTTCAACACGTATTTTACCTAGAAGTGTTTTTAGAAAGCCGAACAAGCGGTATCAACTGTCAAAAGGCTACATGAGCCAGCGACTCTTTTTCAAATAAGATTTTCCTCCTATCACATCTATTTCTGATTCAGCTAATTAGACTGAAACTATCCTCCCGCAAAAGCATTTAACGAGATTCAGATCAATTGAAATGGATAGGATGACCTTCTCCCTAAGCATCCGAGTAATATACGAAATGTTGACTTTAGAAACTTTGTAAAAGCAATTCAACCTCTCCAACCTATAATGGAAGCCATCAGAAATAATCGGAATTCTCTCCGCGTGGATGAATCTTTGGAGCGGTTCGCTTGCCCATTTGCGCTCTTCTGAAATTTTTTTTAAAGTTCTGACATCATCGAGAAAACTCATCACTTCTTGATCGTTACATAGTATCTGATGTAACGAAAGGGATTTTGAATCCTCTCTGTGCAGGCATACTGGGCTTTCGTTGCTCCGATAGTAACCTTTAATTGATCCGATGCTTATTTTCCGAGTTCAATCTCTTAACAGTGGTTTGGCAGTAGCGGTAGTAGCTGTGGTTAGAGGTTCCCAATGACCTGTTGGCATGGGTGGGCTCCATTTTCAACCGGACGGCGAATAGCGTCACCTAATGTTTCGTCCGCTCGCTAAAGGCTGAAAGACACACTTCTGACCAGATCGGCTCTACAGGTACAGCTGTAGGAATGGAAGTGCCGCTGTGAACTTTCAGACTTCCGCGAGAACGCTGATGTCAGTAAATACTAGGAATATCAAACTCAGCCAATTGTGTGCTATTTCTAAACTGCTTCCATACTTACAAAGCAACAAGTCTTTCCTAGAGAATTGACGCTCTTCCCAGTACCCTTTAGGGCTGACGGACACTTGTGTTGTATTGACTATCGCAACTCTACCGCGACTTCTTCCTTTTCGCATCCAAAACACTCGCCTCATTCCCCAAAATAATCTTTCCCAAGGTTTCATGATTGATGATTCCTGTTAGTCGTTTCGCGCCCAACACTATGGGATTGAGCATTCATACTTGGGTGAAAAAACCCATGTGCGACCCACTGTCATCTGATACTATTAATTTCCAGTATCTAATGCATAACTGCAGAGGAAGTGCAACATACCTTTGCATGATATTGTTGCCTTTTATGGAGAACGTAAAACAGCCAACAGTAAGAAATCATAAGAAATATACTGGTGGTTGATAAGAAAATGCCGGCAGCTATGAAATATGCCTTCGACACTTCTTTGCTGGAAGAGTTGAGTGTTTTTGACGCAAACATTTGCTTGACTTTGCTAACAAGTTTTGGAGAGTTGAAAATAGAAGACGACAATTTCTTATTGAAGGCACAGTTCACGATAAAAATGGTTCCTTAGATGTCTCAAGTAAATGGGCTTGTGCCCCAAAGGTAACACAAAAGACGCTCTTGAGTCGAAAAAAGGCCAAGCCGTGATACGCAAAGGCGGACGAGGTCTGGTTGCAGAGGCTGTAGTATTGCACCATTCGCACCGGGACGTACACGTTGCACGCAGGCAGCTTACTGTAGCCAGCTATAGCAGCGGCATACACACCTGGGCAGCTCGTCCAAAGAGCTCTTGCATGTAGCTCTTGCCGTCGCAATCTCGTCAAATCTCCAATCTTACCATTTCCTAAGGCTTACACTTCCCTGAACCCTATACTACTATGCTCTGAATTCTGATGCTGTTGCGTTTTCCTCGTCTTTTTCGCTTTATTGCGGATGATCACTTGGGTTATTCGTCCAGAAGTAGATGCCCCAAAATTGTCGTGAACGGGGCCTTCGATATGGTGGAACATTCCATATACTCGTAATTATAATCGTCTCAACATAATATATCATAATGAGCAATAAGCCATACTCGACCAGCTGTGGTATTACACCTCCACGCTTAGTCCTCTCGAGAATTACTTCATTACCGAGGATCATCAAGGAAATCATAAAACCAGGAATGGTCTGAATAGCCACAACAGCTTGAAGGCGTCGTCCATGCCAAAACTGAAATCAAACTTTTAAGAAGAAGTCGATTAAAAATATTGCCTTCATAAACGTCATATTTTTCTGAATAATTGGAATGGTTTGAATAGCCGTGATTCGTTATTGAACCATAATTTCGATCTAAATTTGCTTCGAGACAAGACACGAAGAGTAGTTTCATAGGGTAGTGTTCATGCCATCTTGAGTAGCCACCACGAAGTAGTACCTTCCCCTTGTTAGTACCAAAAAAACCAAAAAAAAAGAATTAACCTCCGCATATCTGTGTGGAAATAAAATAGCTGAGAGACGATTTGCAGCCACAACTGAGACCGAAACTGCTTGGTTGATACCTGCAGATAACTGCCAAAATCAGAACTTCAAGATAAAGCAACTGGGGTGACTCAGTTTGATGTTACTACCAGAGTTGAAGGAAAACTACAAACTTCAATGAAATCAACTGCCATCGACCGTGTGAAACGTACCTGAAGCCCATGCAAAAATCAGATATGTGTATGCATATGCCTTCCCTAGTCTTATATAAACGCTTGTAAACCATCCCCACATAGGAAATACCGAACCAAAGTAACTGGTAAGAAGTGTTACTGTAAAACATATTAGATAAAACTAGTGCTTAATAGAATTCAGAAGCCTTATTCTTCATGGACATTCTCAATGAAAATCTTCGCATCATGATTCAAAAAGGCGGAACCCGAGCAGGGCGAGGAGACGCGCTCGAGCACGCTTGATCAATAGATCAAAGCCCACATCGATATTCGCCCATGTCGACGAGGCCGTCTACCTTTTGGGANTGTAGTAGGTGCCAGATTCCTCCGGTAAGATGAATACACTGACTTGTACACAAGTTGGTCCGGCCATTTCATTTTTTATAGACGAGATACGCACTAAAGGCACAGTTCAAAAGTGGTTCCCGAGCTTTCATGATGGTACGAATCTGTGGCCCCAAAGATGAAATAATGGGTTTTCGGGTGGAGAAGCTGAGGCTGAGGCTGAGGTAGGGTGCAACAAATATCGGCTGATCTAGAGGCGGCCGTGTTTTGGCGGCGTTGTAGAAGCAGCATCATTCACAGCAGAGCACATATGTTTAAAATTCATACAGCTTCATCGCTTGGAATGAGAGAACGAGAATATCGCCACTGATCACGACTGGTTTCATTTACAGAACAAATGCCTACGCTCAAATCTATACTATGACTGCGTTGAGACGTGGCCCGTGGTAATTGAGATAAGCAATTTTAGTATCAGGGATACTACAGCCAACTCTCTTCGCATTTGCACGAGACCGATGTATTGCCCAGACACCCAGTTTACTGTTATAGTATGTGAATCACTCACTTTCGAGAAGGTCTGAATTTTGTGAACCATAGTTCGATTTGAAAACTAACTCCTTTAACACCCGAAACTGCCTTTTCATGGAGACTTGGGTTGAAAAATCAAAAAAGGATCTTACCGATGTCAATAAATCCTGTAACGATGCAGATTTTATAGAATGAACTTGTCAGATTAGGAATCTTTTTCCTTTGAGCACGAATCAATACCCACACAATAAATGTATAGAAAGGTACAGTGAATAGCCAATAGACAAAGCAAATTCTTTCAGAAATAGTGACGATTCCAGTTATGAAATGAGAGCTATTGAAAGTCATTGTTCCAAGTTTTACCATCTGAAATTATAGAATAAGAACTGAAAACGAAGCAATCGAAAACGATTACATCGGTATGAGGGCGTCGTTGTTGGAAAGAGAATTAATCAACTGGAAATGGAAAAAAATTGAATCAAAGTATCGCCTTTCTAGTCAAGTTTTTCAATGTTCCCAGTTCCCACGACAAGCACTTCGACAAGTTGCTTTCCCAATTACACAAATTGAAGATTAAAGATTTGAGATTGGTTGAAGATTGTTTCATATAGAACAATGAGCTCTATGTTGATGTTCACCTACTGGGAACTGCCTGTGAGTAAGAAATGGTGGATAGCCAGTGGGTTTACGCAGCACTCGTCATTTTCATCTGCACCACGGCAGGGAACCTAGCGGGGCGGGTAACGGAACTACTCCCCGAATTCCCATGGCCTGCGACAGTAGTTCCACGGCGACTCTCCGTGTCCTTCCATTGGGAACTGAAATCTTTCACTTTATAGCGCGCGATCGCGTGCGGCGAGCGCGACACGCCGTTCGGGGAGAAGATGCCAGACCCATCAGTAGACCCTCTTCAATAATAAATTATGCTACATGATCATATTTAGAATCAAAAAATTTCTACAGCGCTGACTTACTGTGGTCCAACGAGGATTCCAAATCACTTCCTGACAGGAAACTCCACGATTCTCCAGAGTAGCCTGCATTTCACTAGAGCATGACCTTGGCCCTGGAAGAGTTGTAGCAGGGATAAATCGGGTGCGCTTCGTTGCACGTGTCCGTCAAAACTAGGTCACGCCGCAGCCGCCGCATCGGTCAGCACGCGATCTTTGACAAACGTCGCTGTTGTCAGCGGGGCATACGAATTTCGCTTGGTCCATGGCAGCCAGCCAAAGAGAAGATAACACCGACAAATGCAGATCATTCGCTCCACCGACACTTGGTGATTCTGTATTGTCGTCTCGAGACGTCATTGGGATGCGCCGCGCGCGAACAGAGCGGGGTGACCTATTTCCGACGGACGCGCGCAACGGACGTTCTCCGGATAAATCTAGCAATAACTTCAAAGAGAAAAAACAATTGGCTAAGGCAACAGTTGCCAAAAGACAGAAGTACAAGCAATAAAGTAACAGAACAATGAGTTCTAGACAAATACTCCGGATGGGCGTGAAATCGTGGGACGACAAGCAGATTAAAGTCGATGTTTTCTCATAGCCAGCCACTTTTTCAGCAACTTCGTTGTATACTGTAACTCTCCGAGGGCGGGGTCTGGGCAAGCTCGTGGCTCATTCCTTGAATTCGAACAAAAGAATGACATCCGAGCTCGGGGAATAAACGTATCTCTATTTATGGACCGCAGTTTCCATTCACTCAATTTACTGATTATTAGCAGAGCGGGCGTGAGACAAGAGCACACGACCTTCCAGGGAGCTATACACGGAATTCATGCAAACTGAGAGTCAGAGATTAGAGACAAGGAGGGAATCAGTAAGAACCGACTAATGGAAATTACGTGGTACTTCAATAAAGGAAGGTGGTGACCTAGTTGCGTATCTCCACATGCATTGAAAGCGATCAGTGCTAAGGTCTCGAGTCAATTCAATCATCATCACTCAAAATGGGCACCGAATTCTCACCACACTACTCCCAATTACAAACCCACCCTATCGTGAATCGCGAAAACCGTGGCCCTGGAACTAGGTTGCTGTAGACCTTCAAATGTTCAACCTCCTTGTTTTTGCTCACTCATGAAGTAGTGAACGACAAGAAGCATTGATTTCGTGTAGAATCACATAGATTTTCCATAAACGTAAAAATTTATGCAACTATCCAGTTGGTATTGCTAGTAGACCAGGTCTTACTTCTCTAAGAGTTTTGAAAGTGGTCAGCCAGTAACAACACATTCCGAGAAATATCATATTCATACCCATTTCTATTCCTTTTCTCAAACGCAGATAAGTGCATAAAAGTGCGTACTATGAGCGCACTTATAGGACAAGCCAAAAAGGGGTGCGTTCCGTTCCGCGCGTCCTTCGAGATTACGTCATGCCGCAGCCATCGCATGCGGCGAGTCAGCCAGCGACTCTCAACGGTTGGCGGAAATTCCTCCTTCATGGCACGCGATCGGGTGTGTGTTAAGTCGTGCGTCCGAGGGTGCGCGCGGCAAATTGCGCGGCGAAGTTCGTGGCGAATTTGGACCACTCCGGCGCCTATCATTGCGGCCCAAATCTGAAGTAAGGTAGATTAGTTAGGTCAGCTGATCCTACTATTCTACTGTACTTCGAAATAGGGCCCAAATAATAGGCGCTAAAGTCGTCAGAACAGCTATGGGTTTCGCCGCGCAATTTGCCGCGCGCGCCCTCGGACGCACGAATTGTCAATGGAAAAGGTGGCCTACCGTTCGGGCGGAAGAACAGACACGCCTGGCAACGGATGTGGCGGTTCGTAAGGACAACTAACAAGACATGGCGAGGGACGAGCAGAGCAAAGAATCGCAGAGTACAATGCCATACACTAGACTTTTATTGTCTACTACTGTATATGTAAGATGCGTACAAGTCAGAAAGTTGAAAGAGCATATTGGCTATCGAGAATACTTTATTAAGAAAAAAACTCTGGTATAGATAGGAGCATAGAACCAAAAAAATATTCTTCACAGCAATCTCTTGAGGCAACCGCAAAGACCAATTTCGAATAGAATCGTATAGACCTTTCCCTATGCACGTCAATATTTAGTTCTGGTCCGCGTTAATGTAATAACAACAGGAGTCATAGAAGATGTGGGATGACTTGTAAATCCCATTAGCCTATATACAAAATGTCGAAGTGAGTCGCTGAAAATCCATAGGAGATAAGCACTGATACCGGAGTAGAGATCACTGAAAATGTTAATAAAGTGATAGGTTTAATGGAAGATTTGGGATTAATTCATAGTTACTCATGAGGTTTTTGGTAGATTGGATAAGTATGGCCAGCTGATGCTATTTATCTATCTGCGCCCTAATGATAGGCACCGGAGACGTTTTAACCACTACGGATTTCGCCGCACACGTTGCTGCGTCCATCCAAAATTGGGTAAATTTCCTGTTCCCTACTCCCAAGCGGCAGTGGTTCCGCAGCTACCGTATCGTTCCCCTGGGAATAAAACCTTTCCCTTCATAGGGCGCGGCTGCGCGCACTGACTGGTGTGGCGAGCGCGACGCGATTTTTGGGGAGGAGATACCACACCCTAGGTCCCTAGTCCGTACGAGTCGAAACCTCAATGGTGTTGATGCAGCATCTGAACATAATATGGGGAAAAACATGTTGTTTACAAATTGCGCATCTTTGATGAAATCCCGGTAATGCTGCTATTTTATTGCAAAGTCTAAAAAGTCTCGGGGCATTAATCAATCCCGTCTGAGGGATGCGCCCCCGGACTCCACTTCCATTCAGAATCGTACATAGTGGCGTAAAGAATGCGTATGTGGCCTATATAATTGCGGTGGCCCTATTTGCGGTGGCTAGCCAATGTACAAGTCAGTCCTTTTAGTCTCACAGACAAGTCTGGTAGCAATCAATCGACCCCGGATGGATGGAAAACTTGGTTGTCTAAGTGAATATCGATGCGAGTTTTGAACCCGTGACCACCGCTTTTTGCCACTACACCACTTCCGCCTCCATAACTTCAGCCTGCTAGATCACCCTATGACATAATGGGGAAAATGACCTTCCCTTATCCAACCTGAAAGCTCTCTCAAGTTTCCTAAACTTGATCAATTGGCTTCTTACTTGATAAAATTGTAAATATTGTAGAAGATTTCGATAGTGAAGGGGAACCATCTGAATAATCTAGATGAGATGAATAGAAGGAGTAGCAGTTGAACCGCAACTGTAACTACTCATGATAAGTTTATAATATTCATGGCTACAGCAAAAATTTCCAGAGGAAGTTCTTCAAGGTTAAAAACAAATATTTAGCAATTTCAAACCTATTGTTGAAGACATTAAGAATAATCGAAATTCTCTTCTTGATAATTCTTTTGCACGGCCGTGTGCCCACGATCCTGGGTTCATCTGGAACCAATTGATGAAATCGTAGAATCTTAGTATTAGCTATCCTGTCTGGTTGTAATTGGTTATGAATCACGACTTTAAAGGCTGTTCTTTTTCCATTCATCCATTGAGGCAATCTCGGGAGAGTATTTGCACTATGTTTGGGTGATGAAATCTTCAATAAATGTATCGTAACTCTCTATGAGTCAACTGGTGCCATCGAGGCCATCGCTCCGAATGTCGATCATGTCGTGGTCGGCGGCCTCAGATGATTCTTACGTAACCGCCCGTAGCGCTCAGGGGTATGTGTACGAACGTGCGTCCGAGGATGCGCGCGCCAAATTGCGCGGCGAACTTCGTGACTATTTGAACGAGTTTAGCGCCTATCATTATGGCCCAAATTCGAAGTAGTGTAGATTAGAAGGGTGATCTGGCCCTAATAAACTACTCTACTTAGAGTTTGTGCCCCGAAAATCGGCGTCAGAGTCATACAAATCGTCACGACTTCCGCCGCGCAAGTTGCCGCACGCGTCCTCGGACGCACGTTCGTACCTCCCCCAGCGCTCAGCCGTAAACTATGTCTGGAGACCATTAGGGCTGCGGTGGGCACCTTTTTCTCTCTGAAAGAATCTCTTTCATCTCTTTCCTCCATATTCTATTGAATTTTAGGTTTCCATCCTCAGTCGTAATACCACCAGAAAAGGGCTTCGTACATCTTGNGGGATGACGATATCATATATAATTGATCCGTTATTTATAAGCATGGTATAGTAGCATCTTTGAAGTTCATCTACACCGCTTACCTCCAGCTGAGCATGGTGCCTTATTCGAAGCATAAAGAATAAATAGCAATAGGCTAATACAAGAAATAGACAGTTAGCTGCTAGAAATAGACCAGCAATAGTAAAGTAAGATTCCGTTGTGTTTTTCCTGAAGAGAGATGGATTTCGGTCAGTTATTGAGCTGACACAACTAAGTTGTTGGAGAAAAACTGCCGATAGTCTGATGGAAGAATGTTATGAATGGAAAGACTGATAGGAATGAGCTCACCCTTGAAATGCTGGCACTAGACCTCCGGTGTGTGTTTCTTTAATGTGCACTTTATTTCGGAGAAAGAGTAATGCGGGGATGATGTACCCAGGAACGATTTGGATGACCATAGCAAGATTCAGTCGTTGCTTAGCCCATATCTGGAAAGGATTACTTACAAAATTTGTTATTTTATTGAACTAATCATTGAGTAAACCCCTTTACACTACCAATTTAGTGGTAGCACTTGTCCGCTTTGTTTTGGCCCTTCCAAGCAGCTTCACAACCCACATCACTTGCTATTTGCAAAGGTAACTTGCTCCCAGTAGAGATCGTGAAAATATTTTCATCAGTAGAGACCTTAGAGGGGATTCGGTGGGGGCAGTTCTTTACCCGAACTCCCACAGCAAGCGGCTTTGTCTTCGCCCATCATTTGGGTCCAAATTTGAGGTAGAGTAGATTAGAAACATCAGCTGACCCTACTAAACAACTCTACTTCGAGTTAGTGCCCCGAAAACTGGCGTCGGAGTCGTACAAATCGTCACGAACTTCGCCGCGCGCAAGTTGCCGCGGGCATCTTCGGACGCACGTTCGTACCGTCCCCCCCCCAAACCACTGTTAAGAGGTTGAATGTGGAAAATAAGCATTGGGTCAATTAAAGATTACGATCGGAGCAACAAAAGCCCAGTATGCCTTCAAAAAGAGGATTCGAAATCCCTTTTGTTACATCAGATACTATGTAACGATCAAGAAGTAATGGTTTTCTCGATGATGTCAAGAACCTAAAAAAAAATTCCAGAAGAGCGCAAATGGGCAAACGAACCGCTCCAAAGATTCATCCACGCGGAGAGAATTCCGATTATTTCTGATGGCTTCCATTATAGGTTGGAGAGGTTGAATTGCTTTTACAAAATTTTTAAAGTCAACATTTCGTATATTACTCGGATGCTTAGGAAGAAGGTCATCCTATTCATTTCAATTGTTCTGAATCTCGTTAAATGCTTTTGCGGGAGGATAGTTTCAGTCTATTTAGCTGACTCAGAAATAGATGTGAAGAGTGGAAATTCTTATTCAAAAAAGAGTCGCTGGCTCGTGTAGCCTTTTGACAGTTGACAACGCTTGTTCGACTTTCACGAAAAAGGCCTTTTCTGTAGATTCAGCGTGTAAAGCAAGCTAAGTAATAACGAGCATTATATGTAACTATTAATTTTCAGTGGCGGTTCAGCTAATTTTCCTTCTATTCATCTTCTTCGAAGCATTCCCATGGTTCTCTTTTACTACAATCCTCTCATATATTCTCTACGATCCCATCAGGTAATCGTTTTTGGATTCAAAAAAGCAAACGAACAGCAAAATCATTTGAGCTTGGACCCATATGGGTAGACTGCCTTATCATCTTATGACCACAGCTTCGTGAGAAAACCAAAGTGGTAACAGTGCCTACAAGGCGCGAGTCGTTATGAGATTTTATGGGACATGCGCGCTCATCATCAGCACAGAGTCCTGCCTCAATCGGCAATTGGCGAGCGCGGCACACCGTTCGGGTACAAAAACTCGCACCGGGATTGTGTCTTACCACCCAAGACAAGCGTATGTGGTAGATGTAATCGGGCACTTATTCAAGTAAAGGTCAGGAAGTGTAATGGAATCTTCCGGTTAAGGCTGGGTTGACTGTCGTGCCTCCAGTAGAGGCATACGACATGAGAAGTTCGAGTAGCTATTCTGGTCGCTGCTACTTCCATTTGGGATTACGTACACAATCAAATGCCTTACTGTCCTAGATCATAATACGGGAGACCATGGATGGTTGAAAGCCTTTCATCAACAAAAGGTGAACCCCGCACCCTTTCCAAATTCGAGTTGTCGCAAATCTTCCTGGCTCCAAATATTCATTCGAATAACGAAGGTCTGACACCTCCTAAGAGATTTTTTCATCGGGGTTACTTCACTTCCTTATTTCCCGAATGTATTGAGAATGTAAGAATGAGACAACAGAAACCTTGTGATAATATTGTGGAACTAGTATAGCCGAGAGTCGGTTAGCAGCCAGCATCGATACCGAAATTGCTTGGTTGATACCTTAAAAAACAATAAAAATGAGAATAAGTTAGTCCGAATGCCTCGTACCTGCCGCAAAGAACTCACCTGAACCCCATGCTATGACCAGATACGTATACACATATGGTTTACCAAGAAATAAATAAACAGAGGTGAACCATCCCCATTTGGGAAACACCGCACCGAAGTAATTGTTTAGAAGATTCACTGTAATTGTTCAATGTAAGATTTCGGAGTGTACGTTGAGGAAGTTTTGTTTTTTTTTCTCATGGACACACAAATGTTGACGTTTATAGAAATCATGGGGAATTCATTGGCATTTCGCCAAAGATTTCCTTTGAGGTTAGCAACGGTCGGAGTGCGAAATGGCGCGCTGTCACATGATCGGTCAGCAGACCAAACCTTGGATCGATACCCGCCTACGCTAACCAGCACCCTATACCTTTCGGGAATTGATTATTGTACCAGACTCGTGTAGGTTTATAAGAGCATTGACATGTTCATCGGCTTGCACACGCTGTCCTTTGTTTGGGTGGAAACCCATCCCATAGTCGCCATGATTCTGAATGGAAGTCGAATGTGTGGTGGAATCTCAAGACGGCACTGTTCAATGTCAAGTTCTCGTGATAACATGTGAGAATCCTGTTCCACGTTTCTCTTATAACCACAAGTACTCCCTACAACCACAAACCTACTGTAAGGGTAATGACCCATATGAGAAATTCTTCCCAAAGAAATTTACTGTTCCTTCGAGTAATTGAAAAGTTGCTTTTCTGGAACGGACACTGGCAAAGAAATTGAGCTAGTCATCGAATGTGGGAAATTACTTGGGAAAGGTCCCGATGGAGTGCCTTGTCGACCCCTTGAACAGATGACGTTTTTGACGTGCTTTTTATAAGATTTTCTTCAGAATCTCTTTTTTTTTTCGAGCTATTTTGCAGAACGACTTTTCCGTCGGCTAAGCTATGCAAAAAAGGGGTGCATGCGATTTTCTGACGTAATCCTTCCCTGTTTTCAGGAAACAATTTGCACATCATACAAGCAGAATCAATTAGGTTGAATGCGAAATTCCTACGAGAAGCTCATTAGTGTTTTCCACTACTAAGAGGAGTAGAATTCCTGAAACAACTACTTTAGTTGGGTAATAGGAATATGAAGCACTAGCGAGATTACGGTAGGAAATTGAACCCATTCTGGATTTCGCTTACTTTCAAATTTCTCGAAAACATGATTCAGCATTTTTCAAAAATGTTGTAGACGAAAAGGACAAAAAGTTGTGCAGGACCTACAGAAAGTTCTGACACACCTACAGGGGTGACGGAACTTCTCCCCAAGTTCCCACAGTCTGCGGCAGTCGTTCCGCTGCGACTTCGTATCCTTCCACTGGGAATTCAAATCTTTCTCTCCACAACGCGCAATCGCGTGCGGCGGGCACGACATGGTGCTTCGGGAAGAAGTCCTACAGAGACGAAAACGGAAACGGACGGACGGGTCCTGACGGAACGGAATGGGAACGAAAGGATCAATTAGCTTTGTATTTGTATGTCGACGACGGGAAGTTCGGTAAATCATATCGATACCGTTTGAGTCCCAAGGGACAGGTACCAACTACCAGCGATTGTAAAAAATGAATAGAGGCACAGATAGTGAGAAAAGGCTAAGTAGCAGTAATCTAAAAAGGGAAAGCTCAATTCCGATGACTGGTATTTTTCAAGAATATTTTTTTTGCATATCAGAAATCCTACTTTTTTCGGAATCTCAAGTAATAATAGGACTTTTCGGACTCACCGATGTCAATAAATCCTGCGGTGATACAGAGTTTATAGAACGAACTAGTCAGGGATGGACTTTTTTTCCTCTGAGCTCGTACCAAGGCGTACATTAATAGGATGTAGAAAGGCACCGTTATAATCCAAAAAGCAAAACAGAACTTTTCAAAAGCAAATATCACTCCATTGGTACGAGCTGAGGTCTCATCGCCCATGAGAATGATGTACTCTCGTTCTAGAATTCATTTATACAATAATTAAAGTCGAATTCACAGACATGAAAAGCGTAATTAGTCGAAGGGTTCACAATGAGAAAAATTTATTTTAATTAAAAGTTATTATAAACGAGCTTCATTTAACTAAAACAACTTCCGGTTAACAAATACTGTAGAAAAAACGGGGCACTCACAGGAAAACGATAGTGACTTTTTCTAACAAAAGCAGCCCTATACCTGCCTTATACTGAAGCTATATGATGCCATTTAGGAAAAAACCCCGGCGAATTCGAAATTCGAAGTCAAGCCGGGGTGTGGGAATTTCCCGACTAGAACTATTATTTCCATGAATAATAGCGAGTAAGGGCAGTTTTACCAGTAATGACATTGGGAGAATGGCTATGACAATAATCAAGTCTGAAATTACTGAACAAATCGGGATAAAGGTATTGAACCCGTATCGTCGAAGTACCGTACACTGGAGAAAAGACTTGGGCTGTACCTACCCTGATTGACCTACAGAGTACGGTACCAGTGCCTACTCTGCATTAGCAGTTCTATGGAAGGAATAAGCAAGGGAGGGAAAGGGATTAGGGCATCCTTTTTAGAGGCCCTCCTGCGATTAATTGCTTACAGCTTACTTGCTTATTTTGCTGCCTNAAATGAACAAATATGCTCCATATTAGCTCGTTTTATCAGTGTGATAAGGTTGACCCCGGATCCGACCCCTCACAATCTGATTCAGAGTTCCTCCCTTGAGGTGGGACAGCTGGAATGACGGTTTTTGCGCTGCTGGGATGAAATCTTTGGAGAGACTGAATTAAACGTGAATTAAAAACAAAAGAATTGGTTAATTTCGGATTCAGCAGAGCACAAAATGGGAAACAGTCTAAGTGTTAGTTTGAAAGTTGCAATTTTGTGCAAAATTCGAAAGTTGCCGTCGGAATCAGTGAAATCAATTTGTTGAAATTGTTAGTCGCATAACGAAGGTATGATTTTCAGAAAAAAACCCGTCATTATTTGAATCCTTTTGATCTTGGATTCTTCCGCGTTTTCGGTATTGTTCTCATCTTCAGAAAAGAAAAACTCAGGAGAGCAAAGAACAGGGTGTGTTCGATTCCTGTCTTGAGCCAAATTTCCCCTTAGCTCTCTAACCTTGTGAGTATTTCAGTTATCAGAAAAAAAAACTTTAGAAAAAGGAATCTCAGAGGTGCGAGCCGAAAGATGCTGTGCCGGTCGTCTTCTAAGTTGCTTTACAAAGGAAAGTGATGAAACTAGGGAAGTTAGAAGTTGAAACTGAGTTACTCTGCCAAACCAAGCTTCGTTGGCTTTGCTGAGGGAACCGGCTCAATGCAAACGTGTATTGTAACCGAAGTTTCAATCGAAACTCTCGCGTTTCCTGGTAAAGTGCTTTTTTTTAAGATGATCAAAAAGTGGCACTGAGTGGGTGAGTGTATCACTGCGTACTTGCCTACTCATTAAAATTTGTGATTTCAGAGTGACATTTTCACCTTGCCCTTCCTTTAACCTTCTGATTGAGAATAATTATCTTCGCTAATGTCCTCTACCTCACTTTATTAAGGAAGCGAAAATGAAGTTGCAGCATGTGGCGTGGATTACGAGAAATTGCGGAAAAGTTTTCCACTAATGATGGATTACATATTTTCCATTTGGAACATTTTATTGAAGGGCTATGGTTTAGAGTTGATCCTCGGAATTTGGAATAAAATAGCAAATGTAGCATAGGGAAATGTGGAAAATTTGGTGTTCAAGTTCTACTCTCAGTGAATCTGGCATACTTCTTCAGTTGTACGGGGTGTTCCAAAATTATGGATGTCAAAATTTAGAAACCTCTAAGGTAGAAATAATTTATCGAATTCACTCCAATCGCTATTAGTTAGTTGCACAAGTACGTTTTCTTGCAATATGCATGGTTACCGGAGTAAAACTCCCAATAGCTTTTGGATGGCAGAGGCTCATCCAATGCCACTTGCAACTACTAGCATGCGAGAGGTGGAAGGACATTATCCGTACAGAAGGTTACTGAACGATCTAGAGAGAAAGATTCAATCAAAGGCAAACCAGGAACTGGTGAAAAGGCTAGTGTTCTTGAAGGTAGGGCTAATAAAATTGTCCATTCTTGATCGTGAATGACCCATCAAAAAGGCGGCAAAGAGGCAGAAATCATCAAAGTTGTCGGTGGGACGGATTGTCGAGCAAAAGCTCCATTGCCCTTCCTATCGTATGCAGAGATGTCGTTTCAATTCCAATCTCAACAGACAGACAATACAGGGCAAAAACTGCACATGGTTGCTCACTCACATGATTGGAAAGCACGCAACCGTTCATCGTTTCCCCTGACAAAAAAAATTTCACGACAAACCATTCCTCAACAAATAAAACGATCACGCTCTGGCCATAAACATCAAATATGTAACCTCTCACAAAAAAGTTGCCATACATCAAAATGATGTTTATTGAGAGAGTCATTGGCAAGGGTAAGATTTCCCTGGTTTCGTCTGGCCTGAAAATTAAGGAAGACCTGCAGAACAGTGATGGACGTAATGAAGCACCGATCCGACTCCGCTTCCCTAAACAGGCCGTAGTCCTTTTAGAAGGGCGGTACTCCAACACACAGAGCCGACCTCGCCCAGGTTTGGTGCTGAAGCTAGCCTCCCGACTTCATTGGCAAAGCGGAATGACCATCCTACTTTCCAGATCTCAACTCACTTGGCTATAATCTCTAATTAGGTGACGGCCTGTCGGATTTGTACTTCCACCTTGGAGTCCTAGGAAGCAAGACTCAAGAATGGCTGGGAATAAATGGGGGAAGATACCTGCATGTCACATGCTCAACATCAAATTTTGGGCCTCTACCCATGCTCGTGGAGCTTATTTTAAAGCGTTTCTGTAGCATGTTGTAGCACATAATGTTAGCAAACGTGCACGTTGATTGTTTTGCCATCCTCAGCTCAGAAGCTCTAATATATTGACCTGAACTGAGACTTACAGTTTTGAGACATCCTGGACCTCTTCTTCTCATACTGTTTGAACGAGAATTTTACCCAACTTCTGATCGACTGACGTTTTGGCGCTTTTGCCTTTTTGGGGTCCCGGAAAGACAAAAGTCACTAACGAGACTATAGGATAGAACACTTCGATATTTGAACCTACAGAAGATATTCAGTGGGGTCGTAAATTGCGCTTAGAAAATTGTTAAAAGAAAGACTAACTAGCCTAGCTACGCTACCCTGGGTCTTTCCAGGTTTTGAAGAAGAGGAAAGCGACGAAGCGTCAGGCGAATAAAGATTGGTTGAAATCTCGGTCGTACAGACTAATAAGTAAAGGGTAGTGCAAAAAAATTAGGTAGAAAAATCAAAGTCAATTTCATATATAACACTTTGCAACACCTGTGTGTATAATGTACCCCCTAAAAAAGTTAGAGCTGCTCAAAAGTAGACATCTAATTCGACATCTAACAACGAATGAGAAAGCGAAAATAGACTGAAAAAAATTAATTGGAGCTATAGTCCTATCAACAAATAGGGTTCTTTGTAGTTGCAATTTTTTATTGTAGCTAAGGAGGTTTTCATTGATGTCTGTTTCTATGAGGACAACACGATGTAGTGCATTTTGAAGAAACTCTCATTAGGGACTCGAATGAAAAGAGCAAATGATCAGGCAAGCGTTCATAAAGGGAATACACTAGAATTTACCCATTTGTTGAAAAAACGATACAGCAGAAACCAGCTCTGCTAATGAAATAATTTACCCAATGCATAATTGATACCTAACAAATTATGTGGGTGGATTAGGCCGGAATCACTAAAAAAGAAACTCTAAGAAACAAGTCCGAAAAAGGTCGTCTCTCTTGTCTCGTTTTTTTGATTGGAGATCAACCACCTGTATCACCTGTCATCCTGATTGATTATCGAATGGCTCCACGGGCGCCAGTAACGCCTCCATGCGTCCCTGTCGCGAGCCCAAGTGGCCCAATTGGTAGCCCTCGCTTTTTGCTACACGAGGCATAGCGTTCCTTTCGTTCAGAGCTTTCGACCATTGCCCTGGTAGCCGTTTCGCTTTTCGTTTCGGTGTTTGTATGAAGGGATCCAGTCGGTGACCGCCTTGTTTTAACGGTCACCACAAAATCACATCGTGAATCCCGCTCATCTTCGATCTTCGGTTTCTTAGCGTGAGGGACAGGACGATAACAATAATATTTACCAGTGAAACACTGTAAGTACACTTCCTCATTTATGTTATCTTCCCTGTGATTGTTGTTAAGAGTAATGAAAACGTAAATGAGTTGAATGGATGAAAAATCTTCTTACAAGGGGTCCCAGATCACTGCTTTTCCATGCGTGTGCATGATTCCTACGAATGAATTCAAGAATATTTTCAACACGCCTCTGTGGAACACAATGTTCGGTATGGAGGAACGCCCTTTGAGGGAATGTTCGTTCGGGTATTTCAGTAAAATTGCAAGTCCCAGGTAACTTACACTTCTCATTTACTCAGTGAATAGTATTCTGCCCCTTTGGGAATGGCTGAGTGCTACAAAAGGCGTATGGGATGGCACAACCCTTGCCTTGTACAACACCTGATCCTGAGCCATAGCGAAAGACTAATGCGTGTTGAGACCTCAATGCAATTTGAATTGGAAGACAAATGTGTGAGCGCATTCCGAAACAGGATGGAAAGCCATAATTCAACATAAGTTCCCATAAATTCTGTAAAAGGACTGAGGGGCTGACACATTCTTATTAAACACTATGGCAATTATTCATCACGTAACGCTGCTGCTCTGAGCAACCAGTTTGGCTCTGTATAGTTAGAAGATACCAATGTTTACTCTGAAAGGGAAGAGAAAAATTGGTATGCTCGATGGGAAAAAGAGAGGAGGGAAAGGAAGGTAACAACAGATCCCTATTGGAAATCGTCCACTCTGCATAGGAAGCGAATAAAGATGGTTCTTACTGAGGTACCGTCCGCTATCGGGAGATCAATAATTGAACTAGATTGATCACCGATTGATTCTAATATTCTACAAAAAGTGGGTGCATGGCTCATCAAAGGTCAGGTCGAAAATTCCAACAAGCTTTCGTAATTTCTTTATCCTTTGATAGACAAGTGGTTGGACACTGGTTCGGAGGAAGTTCTTTCCAGCTCCCTCTTTCTCTAGCCCTTTATTCCCCTTTTTTGGTTGAACGACTGTCCTCTATGAGTGATGGACCAGTCAAGTTCAAGGGCCAGGTTATCGGGAGAGGTTCAATGTGAACTCGCATAGTCATAAACATAGCTAATGGCGGGGAAGGATTCCAAAGAGGTCCATATAGGGGTCTACCGTATTCAGGTAATTTTTTGATGTTTTCTCAATTTGTTTTTCGTTTTACTGCGCAAATCCTTTCAAAATACCTGTTCTCTTGACGACTTTAATTAAATCAACGCCCGACCGCTGCCATCCCTCAGAATAATTCCTCTCTCTTTGCTTGTTGCTAGTTTCCGAACGAGTGTGAGGAACAAACCAGCTTTCTTCTGTTCTATTAGAACCAGCAGCTATCCACTATGTTTAATTGCTCCAGTTATCTGGTTTTTGTTAAATTTCTTTTCGACGATTTGCCAGATGGTGTAGTGGGAGTTTTTGGCCCGAAATTCATCGTTCACTTTGTCGGAAATGGGTACCTAGCCAAACTACTAAGTTTTACTTTGCAGAAATAAGTGGGATAGAGGCCTTACTGTTTTGTTCCATAGCCTATTACGGCCCCATTGACAAGTATCTCACCTTTTCCTTTCCTTTTCAGTTTCACTTCCGTTTAAGTGGAGCGGTCCACTAGGGTTCATTCGGAGATCCTCTTGACTTTCGGAGTCCAAGCGGAAAGGATCATTGATCAGACAACGTTTCGGATTCCTCTCAATTAAGTATTACAGAAGGGCGTTGGCCACGACTTGGTAATTCTACAGGAATGTAAGGTCACAAGGTGGCCGTGAACAGCAATGCATACTAAGACCCTACGTTTCATTGCCGATGAAGATTTACTCCAGTTTTACAATACCGTGCCTTTCCTGTGATCTACCCGTTGAAATTGCTAGAAATCGTACCTAACGACACATTTTGTCATAGGAACTCCACATCCCTTAGTAGGATGGCAACCGACTAGAGTCGTGTAACGTGGTCCCTGTTGTAGGTGGTACTGGTTGGACCAATACAACGTCTTCCACCCCATCTCACTTTCCATTCTGTATTCTGAATGAATCAACTTTAATATCAAGATAATACGCTTGAGCTGTTCAGATCGGCTCTACGGAAACCTGCCTCCTTTCAGATGGCCTCATAATTGAACCGACGTTTCTGTTTTCATCCGTTTTTCGATCCTCAAACGGTCATTACGCTGCGGACAGATCACGTCCTCAAAGGCTATTCAGCTCGTACTTATAGGACAGTCAGTCGTCAGAAAGTGGGCCTCATCGAATGGCTGTAAAAGTCTCTATTCTCTTTTTTCCACCATTTAGCCAACACCATTCTCCCTCCAAAGATGTGTAACCCAACATTCTAGCTTTGAAAAAATTCTTCTTGCATTAAGCAATTGAAACAATTATTTGTAATTGGATCGCATCTGTGATAGTTCGTCTGGGATAAGCCATGCATTTCGTTTCTACTCGAAAGAGGAAATAAGGAATTTGGTCGCTTTTCAATCAGTGATCCCCATTTTCACTTGTATAAGTAGTAAGGGCATTAGAACAACCTCCAAACATTGTTGACCATTGAAGTGCTACCATTTCACATATATTCATGTGTACGATATGAAGGTCAGACAGAAAATGCCCAATGTCGATCGAATGAAAATAAATAGTGCGTTCAAATGAAAAGGCTTTTTTTCTCCATCTGAATTAAGGGCAGTAGGACAGTCAGTTTTATTGAAATTCGTTCATAGTCATGCTGAATGGCTTGCTACAGACGAGATTTGATGGCTTGATCGCATCCTACGACGACGCCGATGACATAGCAGCAATTACGTCGGTGGAATTCCCACTATTGTTCGTAGAATTGCGTACATTCCTCATGAACATGGCGCCATTGAAGTTCATGTGTCTGGCTTTGACGTCGAGCTGGATTCTTCAAGTATCCTCACCCTCTTTCCAGCCTTTTTTGCAGCATCCTGTCCACGACTTAAAACTCATCACTTTGGTTAAACCTGTGCTAGCTGATTTCCTGACGATCGGGTCAAATATGTTCATTTTAGAGGTGGACGTCGTATCCACGCGACGGAGGCAAGAGAATAGGAAAGAGTAAACACCGGATTTGTTGAAACGAATTAGAGTCGACAATTCTGATTGACAACCCTTAAAAAATGACTCTTATTTGTATTACTATATGATATGTTTAGTATAACTCCACGCTACTCATATCACGACATATTCGTCGCCTTTCTGTCGAATACCTTTTTTATTTCTTATTTATTTGTTTCTTTGTCTGGGCCCACCCGTCACGCTATTGGGGGAAGGGGGGGGGGGCTGATTTTGAAGGGAAATCGGAGCAGAGCGGGAGGAGATAGGTGGAGATCGCACCCCGACGTCTTCTGAGTCTGGAAACTGCCCTCGTGGCCGCCGCCTATTATCGGTTGTTCGACTGTACCCAGTCTATTCGAAGCTTTCTTCACTGGTAATGTCCTCATGACCCTCCTACTGCCAAAGGTGATATACAGCTTAAGTCTGAGCATGTTCTAATGGTTAGAATGTTTCCTTCTGATCCTCAATGTCTCAAATCATCTCCAATCATCAATGTGAACCATTTCTGTTGACCCACGAGTGGCAGATGATTTCTCATGGGTGAATCGGTTTCAGGTCAGGGAACATTTCTTTATCGTTCGCTGCCTTTCACTCAGAAAACGACACGATTAACTCGATCTAACTCGATTTCAGTGACTATGTGCATACGATGAATGAGAGTGTCCGTTTTTCTTATTCGAAGACTTCCTGCTGTTATGATCCTTCATGTACCAGTACTGACAGTTTCTCCCGTGAGCTAGAGATTTTGTTGGGCTACTTTCAGCAACCGTACAGTGTTTCCTCTGTTTCCAACGTCTTACGGAACTTTCAGACTCGCTGAATTCTTTGCTGTTCTTTTGAAGGAAATTGAGTCAAGATAGGCAGATATGTAGTTATAGTACGAAACTAAAATGGTAGATTACTGTACTATAGAGGAACGGCCATAGATTGGTTACTTGTTGTCGAGTGGTAGAGCCTCTAACTCGACTACTTTGGAAACTGAGACCTTGGAACCAATTTCAGTATACATGTACTCCCATATGCAAATTTTTCTTAAACCTGATTCGGAAGCTATAATAGTCTTTTTGTTTGTTGCTATTTATTCATAATTGTTTACTATTTTCACATCCGTTGAATAATTGTGTTCTTAGTTTTCATAGACTTAATTACTCTTGTTATAGGTATTTGGTATTATTGATATTTTTTAAAAGTTATAATGACTCTGAAAAATAGTCACTTCAAATGTATATAACCGGAATTTTTTGAATACATGAATGAGATACCTTCAAACAAGACGACGGTTGGTAGTTCCGGAGGTGTTAAATGGCTGGCTGAAAGCGGTTCAGCGGAGTTTGGTGCATTTCTTTCACCCCATATGGGTGTGAAGTAGGCGAGGGAACCCCCTATGTTTAAACTCGTCCATGTCCAAGATGCCACATTCAGCAGAATCAAGCCTCATTTCGCATCAAAGCATCCAGTTCAAGTGAAATCTATGACTCATAAATTATACGGCATGTTGAATCGCTTAATCGAAAACCCCTCGAAGGAGACTATTGGAAATGACGCTCCTGTCCTCATTTCATTCCAGATGATCCTCCAAAGTCTCGTTCTCCTCTCCCTGTGCCTTTCAGCTTATTCTTTACCGTCTCTTCAAGCATACATTGCAAAATACAAACCACAAATCGTTATCGAAGGAACAAGAACGTGAGTTACAATGTTTTCAAAGTATGAACGTTCTTCCGATTCAATGATAAATCTGAATGCTTTATATGGGTCCTGCTCCCCATCCACGGCATCCTACGGCCGTTATCCGCCTTTACTCTATCGACCGGTTCAAAAGTAACATTAATTCTACCCGAATGCGGTTGATATAAAGTAATGCTTACCTTTTGGCCGATTTCCACAGCTTAGACAAGCTTTGGTAGATTGACATTTGGCTTATCCTCAAAATACCCCGAATCCAAGATCCAACAAACTACATTTCACTCATTCCTGGTGAGCGGGGCTCACAATGGAGTCCAGCAGGGAAGGGCCCGAACAGGAACAGTGATCCTTCCCGAGAGGAACAGAGTTATAGGCTTAAAAAAGCAAGCCTAAGGTTGTGGTCTCGTGGAATAGCTGGGAATGATTACTCGATCTTTACTACTTGGCCTAAACGGGTTGGGGGATGGGTTCTTCGATATGTTTGTATCCGTGGTAACCATGTTAAGTGCAACAGCTCCATTCAGTTGTTTTCCTTTTTTCCAACAAAAAAATATCAATGGACGAGTAATTTTACTATTATTTTGGCGTTTCTTTCACAATTTACGATCAATCCTAACCAAGGTAATCTATCAGGTGCTAAGTTGGTGATTTTCAGATATCATGTCTATCCAAAAAATCGAATAGAAGTTACACTATCGTTTGGAACCAATGATAAAATCATTCGAGTAGCTGAAACAGCCATAAACGACTACTTCTCCGGTGATTTGTACTCACAGGGCGATGAAACGGAAAGGATGGGCGAGGTCAGTCAATTCCGTTAAAATACAGAGCTTTAGGTGACCACCGAAGGTTAAGTGGTCTACCAGTTCATCAGATTATTACATTTCTATTTTAACCTCAGGTTATGGAACATTACTTTGGCGGATTATGGTCTGTGGCAATATTCGATGATCCTTATGGCTTTTACTGGACAATAATACGAAGGTAATTTCGTGAAAAAAAATCGGAAGAAGCGATAGTATGGGCTTTCATGAGTAAATTGTCTGGTTTTTTTTTTGAAGAATGTCATTTCTTTCGTGGAGGACTTTGTTCTACGGGCCGCTGTTAATCTAAGTTAATCTGGTTCTGAGTCCATGAAAAATCAATTGGAAAGAACCAATGACTAACAAGAGTCTTACTTTCGGAAGATCACTTCCTCTCCTGAACTGAGGGCTACTCAATAGAAGGGAATAAAACAATGTCAATAGTAAACGGATACAGCAAAAAAGCCGAGACCAACGTAGTTCATGGACCAACGTACATGGATAAAAGGTCAGGAGTTAAATACTTGCACCAGGTGAGGCCCAGGCAAAAGCTGACTGACCCCATTGATCGACTGTCCTAGTTTTTTTTTTTGAGAGCATTTTTGACGCGCTACCAGTGCCAGATTCTTGAAGGCGCCCCACGGCTCCTATCCTCTGATAATCGTGCCTGTCTTCGGAGATCGATAACCACTCACTTACGTTAGGGATCTGCTGGACTTGAGAATGATTCCACATAGGATTGACGTCGCTAATATCAAATCAGTTCGATCTCTAACCACTCCGTTGATGATCTCTGTAGCTACGAATCTACTTGGCTAGTACTGGGAGGAAACTTTGTCTTATTGGAGGAAGCCTTGTCTTATTGAAAAAACTTTGATGGCTTGTGTAATTTAGTGCGATAGCCATTATATGAGCGGTTCCATAATGATTGCGTAGAAGACGTTTAGTGTACCAGTTCCCTAGGAAAGAAACTGCGGTAACCCAACAAGTTGAAAAACCCGAAATGAATAGAGTTGGAATATCCGTCGTTGAACCACTATCAGTAAATATATGTTCCAGCAAGTTTCTGCTGAAACTCCTGACTTTTTTTGTTTATTCAGATCGCCAGCGTTCGTGACGTTTGACGTGAATGGCAAGGGGATCACTTTTGCTAAGGAAGGCATCAAGTCTTGAGCTTTTTGTTCTGAAGTGATTCACGTAGTTATTGTACATCTGTTAATTATAAGTTGCATAAGGTCGGTATATCGTAAATAAACAGTTCCCTTCAACTAACTTGTGGGTTTGATGGATGTCATACAGAACAGCCGCAACGATGACGTAGCAAGACAGTGTGTCGTGCCTTCCGTTCGACTTCATAGGTCGACTGGCATGTCACACGCCTTGGTCCCGCCGGAAAGATACAGTACGCTGCAGGGAATGAGAGGACGCCAAGTGGCTATGCTTAGCAACGGACTCTGGCTGCTTACGCCATCATGCGAGGATTGCAACGTTCGTTTTCGTCACCGTAGCTCTAGCAGCAGCATGGTCGTTTCCGCCCCCATGTACGCACTCGACGTCAACTCCACTGGCTTCTCTAGAGGGAATCGAAGCACCACTACAGTACCATCTTCTGTTGGTGCAACTGCTGTCGAAGTCATCCTCACGCAAGGAAAATCTGGAGGGTGTGTTCGAAGCCATGGATAAACAAGGGAGTAGCAGTACCGCAAGGAGGTCGGGAGTGCTGGATGGTCTAGACTGAGTACTATCGTACCCCAACCGTAGGTTCAGTGTGGTTTTGTGTATATATTTTCTTGTATTCTCTTCAATGATATTTGTCATAATCGTAGTTAATCGCATTTACTCACATTCATCAAAATATTTATTTTTGATATATGTAGTTTCCCATAAATTTACTTGATTCATTCATGTGTGCTTAGTACTGGAGTGTAAAAACACCTTGTATTCCGCAGCCATCCCGAGCGCTGGGATGAGCAGGCCTTCGGAGGGACACGCGCCCAGCGTTTCGATGGAGATCGGCGCTGGGCGAGTAGCCTTCTAGCTACTATGGAGGCAGCACCATCCCGTTGGAGGACGCAAAAGCACCGGGACAACCTAGCCTACCATGTACGCGTGACAGATGGTTACGAGCATCGTAGAGCGGGCGGAAGATCCTGATCACGTAATCATGCCGCCTGAGTCGCCCTGCCGAGCAACTATAGATGCGAAAAGGTCTCGGTGGGACGGCTCCGACGGCGCTACACAGTAAAATTCAAGCCATACTGTGGCTTTCGTTGAGCGAGTTGAAACCAAAAAAGTGAGAGTGAAGTGAGGAGTAGGTTTCTTGTTTCCGAAAGTTCCAAAGAAGGTGTTTGATCAGCAGAAAGGACGACAAGAAGAAATGAGCACTACAATGTCTCAAGCACATTGAGCGACAGCATTTGGTAATTAATTCTGCCTCTACAGATAGGGACTTGAACCCACAGCCCTGTTCGGGCTCCCGACAGCGAATTCATAGCCACAACCGCCGAGTGCTCTGTGTCGTGGACCTGGGCAACCACTATCACACCACTCCCTCGATGCACGGAACCTACGGTTCCTACCTGGACTACGCCGCAAACGTCGTATCCATCGTGCACAAGAGTGAAATTCCATACATTTATTTATTTATCTTATTTATATATTTATATACATATATGAGTGACCGACACGTTGCCCCCGACACACAGACACAGATATTAATTATTCCAAAAGTAGCCACAGAACATGTCCAACCAGCAATAATCAGGAAATCGCGAAAAATGATTGATAGCCATGAATATAAAAAGGGTCTTGGATAAGACTTGTGATAACGGTGCAATACAATCCACATACCAGTATGCTTCATTTAACTGTACTGGAGCGCAAAGTTCCGATAGTTGCTCAATTATCTAACTGCTATATTTATATATTTATATATGAGTGATCGACATCTTGTTACATACACACAGACACAGATCTTAATTATTCCAATATCATTAGCCACAGAACTTGTCCATCCAGCAATAACCTGGAAATCACGAGTCTTTTCATATTTCGTGATTTTTTACCGTCTGATTAAGCTCTTCCTCAGGCGCTTTACCGATTGTGATACATCTAGAAAGAATAATGGCTTGTCTACAAAAACTTCCAATTTCGTTTTGGAAAAAGGTCCAAGTAGACGAAGAAAAAGTACTTTGGGTTGACTGAGGTCAACTCCATGTAAGGGGAACATATTTTGCTAATATTTTACTCGGTAACATGGCTAGAATGAGTAAGTGTTTGCGGCATTTGGATTATGCTCATACTTCTATTCCATTGGTTAAGACAAAATTTATTCCTCTAATGATAATGAGGGAATCTGATAAGTGCCATGATAATAAGATGGATTTGATTAATGGAATATGACATAAGTGTAAACATTTGCTTAGTTGCTGCTGGTTGTAGTTGCTACGTAGTTGCTTTCGCTTAATTTCAGTCGACTATATAGTTGGGTGGTGAAAACGAGGTGGGGAGGGGGGGGGGCCATCACAATGTTGGTATATCAAGGAACTAACACGGTTTTACGTGTTACTCCGTGTTACACCACGGACAAACAATAGCAATACATGTAATTTTTAAACTGTGTCTCGGAGGGAAGGAGCTCCGGGGTGAGTGAAATTTCAGCTTTTTGCGCAAGTAATCTTCCATCACCAACGTCCGTTGCGCGTGTCCGTCAAAAGTAGGTCATTCCGCCCACTTCGCGCGCGGCGCATCACAAGTCGCGAGATGACATTACAGTACCACCAAGTGTTATTGGAGCAAATGATTTGCATTTGTCTGTGTTATCTTCTTCTTGAACTGACTGCCGTGGACCAAACGCAAAGCGTATGCCCCAGTGGCAATTGCGACGTCTGTCAAATATCGCGGGCCGACTCGCCGCGTGCGACGGCTGCGGCGTGACCTAGTTTCGACGGACACGCGCAACGAAGCGCACCCTAAAATCCACATCCTCCTGGCAGAAAAACGCAAAAGAATGCACAGAAGAACTATGTCCACACTTCTTTTCGTATCTGATGCTGTGGTACTATTATATAACACGGACTAACACGTATGATACAGTGGTACTATAACACGGACTAACGCGTAGAACCACATTAATTTCTTGTTACACTAACACTTTTATGCGTGCCCCCC